TTCTGTATTCCTTCACCTCCTGCATGGGCATGGAGAAAGGAAGTCCATGGGACCAGTCAGAACCCCTATGGATAGGGGAGTTCTCAAGGTCATAGCAGACAATGGGAAGGGTGTTGGAAGCCTTCATATAGAATTTTCAAACTTTCTTATCTCCTGGGCCTCATCGCCAATAAATTAAAGAAACTATACTTGGTTTCTGGCTAACTCCATGTCCCTTCCACTCACTGTCCTACCTGAGAGCTTTCGCACCTGCACCATCTGTCCCCACCCTGCCTCCCAATCTAAAATGTACTCTGTGCAGCCAGGAGGAAGTTTCTCACCAAGATCTACAAGCAAAGGTGCCTTCCCAGCACACACCATTCATGTCAGGCTGCACCGAGGGCCCATGAGATATGATAGGTAATAAATTCCAAGTCGTTTGCGAGTCCACTAGCACTGTTTGTAAGTGTGTGCTGGTATTCGGGCCAAATCCAGCCCTTAGCCCAGGGCCCAGTGGCTCCCCAGTGACAGATGTGGCTCTAGCACAGAGCAGGGTCTGCCTGGAAGCCATTGTTCTTCCTCTAGTGGAACTGAAGGAAGGGCCAGAGACATAGCCTCTTCTCCCTTAACTTTACTTCTCAGCCTCATGCTCTGTCTCCAAGCAAATGGCAGGGAATCTCAGCCTTTTGAACATGCTGTTTATTTCCCAGTGAGAGAAAATGCACCAACTCCACCTCTTTGTCAGAGATTTTGTTTTGCCCATGCGGTACTTATCATCAGAATAATGTCATTACGTGGTGAGTGAGTTTGACAAGCAGCAATCATCTTGAGAAATGTTGGCTTTTGAGAGGCTTTTGAAAATAAGACTTGAACTATAAATACCCTCTCCCATGAGAAATAACTGGACACTTTCTACACACCTCCAGGATGAACCAATGGTGGGTGCCTTTACTACTCTGTAGCCGAAATGTCCATCAAAAGAAGGGTGAATAAAGCACATGTGCTCTATGTACACCATGGAATACCATTCAGCCTTAAAAAAGGACTTCCTGTTATTTGTGACATCATGGATGAACCTAAAGGACATTATGCTAAGCGAAATAAGCCAGGTACAGAAAAAAGTCAAATTTATAGAAGCAGGGAGTGTCCAAGGACTGGGAGGAAGGAAAGAGGGAGAGACTGGTCAGGGGATATAAAATTTCAGGTAGGCAAGTCGAAGAGACCTGGTGTACATCACGATGACTGTAGTTAATAACAATACATTGTATGTTGTAAGCTGCTAAGAAAATAGATTCTAAGTGTTTTCACACCACAAAGAAATGTCCATGAGGTACAGTATATGTGAAATAATGTGATATAGCTCCCCCACAATGTCTTCACATAGCCGAACGCCACGTTGTAGCATAATTATATGCAATTTTTCATTTTTAAATAATATAAATACATTTTCTTTAAAGGGCATTCTTTTGGGTTTTAAGAGGAAAAAAGAGCAGTGATTTGTAGACTAAATGTTCGAGGTGATCAGGAGCTTAATGGTAAGGGCAACAGCAGGCACCAGCCTGCAGCTTGGGGCTCAGATTGCCAGAGCCTGGGTCTCTTCCTGCTGGGTGACTTTGTGTAAGTCATTTCGCCTCTCGTAAACAAGGAAAATGATAGTGCCTACTGCGTTTCCCCGCAAATAAGACGCTATCTTATATTTATTTTTTCTCAAGAAGATGCACTAGGGCTTATTTTCAGGAGATGCCTTCTTTTTATTAAGTATAACAATCTACATTTATTCAAATACAGTTAAGTCATCTTCTTCTAGAACCTGACAGGGGGAGCTGACCTTGTTGGTGGGGCTAGCAGTAGCGATGCGTGAACTCCTTTCCCCTAGCCGTTCGCACATGCCCAATAGGATGCCTGTGACCACGATTAACACACGCACACCCGTACAAGTGTGAATGGCTCAGAGAAAGGAGCTGTGGCAGATAAAAGGTATTCCAGTCTTCCTTACCGCTCCCTGCTGAAATGCAGGGTGTGGCTATGCAGCATATATATCTACATAGCCATGCCCATCACTAGGTCTTATTCTCAGGGTAGGGCTTATATTTAACAAATGCATAGAAAATCCTGCTAGGGCTTATTTTTTGGGTAGGGTCTTACTTTCGGGTAAACACGGTATTTTGTATGGTCACTCTGATGTGGCAGTAAAAGTTAGCACAGAGCAGGTGCAGTGGAAGGACTTTGTATTAACTGTACTATCATCATCACCTCCAGGAGCGGTTTCCACCCCACTGCTCAGACTGCTGGGCAATTAAAGGTCATGACCTGGGGACCCCCCAGCAGCTGCCCATCAAACAGAGCTGCACCTCTTTCTCTGGTCAGCTTAGGTTTTGCACTCTGCTATAAGCTGTCTTTAGACAAGGATTCTCCAATTTTTGTTAAAAATTAGGGTTTGAGCCTATCCAGTGACCACAGCGCCAGCCCCACCCTCCCGACTCAGCTGGCAGCACAGCCCACAGCCCTGTACTGGTGTCCGACATTAAAAGCCTGTGCTTGACTGAGAAATGGGGCCTCACTGGAAATTTCAAACCAAAGGTTCGACAACAACAGAAAAGACACTCATGCATCAGAAAAGTGATTAGCAAACTTGGCAAAACAATATGGCCTGATTTGTACAAACACCAGAATCTGATAAAATAAAAGGATTTAAGGAATTTCTTGAAACTGAGATAAACTTAACAGAAACCTGCTCTTTGGCCTGTGTTAAAGACTTCGCAACAAGAAAGATAAAGAGAGAAGAGATCATCTGTTTAGAACATAGCTTGCAGAAATAGTCTTAGCCTGGTGTGATGGCACACGTCTGTAGCCCCAGCTACTCAGGAGGTTAAAGCAGGAAGATTACTTAAGCCCAGGAGTTTGAGGCTGCACTGAGCTATGAGATGCCACTGCACTCCAGCCTGGGCAACAGAGCAAAACCCTGCCTCCCAATCAATCAATCAGTAATTTTTTAATAAAAAAATTTTCTAAAAGAAAGCAAAAATAATAGAATAAACAAATCAAAACCTGTTTCTTTTTCTTTTCTTTTTTTTTTTTTTTTGACAGTTTTTGGCCAGGGCTGGGTTTGAACCCGCCACCTCTGGCATACGGGGCTGGTGCCCTACTCCTTTGCGCCACAGGTGCTGCCCCCAAAACCTGTTTCTTCAAGAAGACTAGTGAAATAGGCAAACTTTCTGGCAAGGTCAATCCAGAAAACAAAGAAAGAGAAAGTATAAATAATATAAAGAATGAAAACAGGGAAAGAATTCTAGAGACAGCAAAGAGATTTCTTTAAGGCATTATTTGACCTAAAAATTTTATGACAATAAAATTTTAGTTTAAAATATATTTATAACTTTGATAAATTTTAAAACTTACATAGAATGTAAGTTTTCAATTATATTTAAAATGTAATTTACTAAAACGAATTAAAGAAGAATTTTTAAAAACCTAAATATACCGGCTCCGGCGCCTGTGGCTCAAGTAGCTAAGGCGCCAGCCACATACACCTAAGGTGGCGGGTTCAAATCCAGCCTGGGCCGGCCAAACAACAATGACGGCTGCAACCAAAAAATTTGCAGGTGCCTGTGGTCCCAGCTACTTGGGAAGCAGAGGCAGGAGACTCGCTTGAGCCCAGGAGTTGGAGGTTGCTGTGAGCTGTGATGCCACGGCACTCTACCCAGGGTGACAGCTTGAGGCTCTGTCTCAAAAAAAAAAGAAAAAAAAAACCTAAATATACCAGTGTCATGGGTTAAATTGTGTCCCCTCAAAAAGATACACTGAAGTCCTAACCCCTCAGGGCCTCAGAATATGACCTTACCTGGAAATAGGGTTTTTGGCGATGGAATTAGTGAAGATGAGGCCATCCCTAAGTAGGGTGTGCCCCTAACCCAATATAACTATAATAAATATAGTTATTTATTTAACTATATTTAAAAATATAACCCTTATAAAAAGATAGCCATGTGAAGACAGAGATCACTACATGGAAGACGGAGGCAGAGATTGGCATGATATCTCTCCAGGGAAAAAAGTCAAGGGTCTCCACCCATCCCGTGAAGCAAAGAGGGAGGTGTGGAAGAGATTCTTCCTCAGAGCCTCGAAAGCAGTGTTTTTCAACCTCTTTAATCTCACAGCATCCTTGAACCTACTTCCCAGCACAACTTAAATTATGTTGATCAAAAAAAAATTTTTTTAAAGAATATACCAGCTCAGCATTCATAGTTCAGTGAGTGAGGGTGCCAGCCACATGCACCAAAGCTGGCGGGTTCAAGCCTGGCCCAGGCCTGCTAAACAACAATGACAACTGCAACCAAAAAAATGGCCAGGCGTTGTGGTGGGCACCTGTAGTCCCAGCTACTTGGGAGGCTGAGGCAAGAGAATCGCTTAAACCCAAGAGTTAGAGGTTGCTCTGAGCTGTGATGCTGCGGCACTCTACCAAGGGCAACATAGTGAGACTCTGTCTCAAAAGAAAAACAAAAAGAATATACCTACTGTGCTTTGAACTTATTTTGAAAATAATTTAATTAAGATCTTAAAAAAAATTTTTGTGGCACACCGGTTGAAAATCACATCCTCAGAGAGAGCCTAGCCTGCCGCCAGCTTGATTTCAGGCAGCCTCCACAACAGTGAGAAAATACATTTTTGCATTTTTAAGCTGCCCAGTTTGTGGGACTTTGTTCCAGCAGCCCTAGGAAACTAACACAACCAGTAACCATTGGGATGATTGAAATGATTGTTTAAAATCTCTCTCTCACATACACACACACACACACACACACACACGGATCCAGTTCAGCCTCCTTATTGTACAAGCAAGTAAACTGAGGCCCTGAGAGCTCACCCAGCAAGGTGGTGGGCATGATGGGTGGGCCAGCATATGGGCATCGGGCAGCAAACAGATGTGATCCCAGAGCTCTAGCGACCCCACGACGCTCTGAGTAGCTGAGGCGGCACTGTGCACTTTCCACACTTTTCATAGGTTTGTCTTTTCTTCCCAGGAACATCAAGGTGATGGAGAATTTGTTCTCTATCCCAATAAGAATGTCTTCCAAGTTCTCTTTCCTGATAAGACAGGCCAGATATAGTATCCTCTGGAGAACAGGGATGCTCCTATCGACAGACACTGGCACCTAAGTCTGTGATTCGAGGTTGGGGTGGGGGTCTCGCCGAGGCCTGCATCCTCTGCAGGGCCCTGCCTTCCCCAGGGGGTTCTCAGGGACTGCTTATGCGGCTTATGCCTTAACCACCTCCCAGTTATCCATCAGGAAACCTGGCTATGCTCATCTTCTGTGCGAAAAGCGAAATGTTCACGTACATCGTCCTGGAAGACAGTAAGAACCCGCGGGTCCGGGCCCTTATCAACAACTCTGGCCATGCCACCTTGTATGATGAAAATGGAGATATCTGGTGAGATTGGGTCATGGATCCCGAATGCCCCTGCAGGTGGGGCAGCAGCGTGGGGAAGGTTCAATTCCCCATCTCACAGTGTTGGGAATGGGAGATGGGTACCATGAGGGGCCAGTCTGACGGGGCCGACCCTCAGGGCAGATGCAATGTCCTTGCTGCACCACTGCCCTCCCCGCTCCAGGTGGAGCTACAGTTGGTTGAGGATCCAGAGTCACCACGCTATGTAGCTTGGTCTTCTGCACACCTCTTGTGCCCCAGAGAGGCGGGTTGGTAAGGGCTTGGGAGATGCATTATCTTCTATGCAGAGTCTGCGGTGAGAAGGGCAGCTTCTAAATAGCTCGTGACAAGTGCACTTAGTTCTTCAGTCCCCATTTCTGGTAATGGTGAAAACCGTCCAATGTAAGGTAACTCAGCCACTTCAAAATGTTTCTCCCTTTCTTCTAGGTAAGGGCTCTCTTTTCAGGCTTTTCCCTTCTGTCCAAAATGCTCATGGCATGGGAAATGTATATTATCTTGGACCAAGTTTATTCTTTCTCCTTGATAGTCAAGGCCAACCTTTTTTTTTTTCTTTTAATTCCAGAAAAAAATTTTTTCACTCTCTAGGTTTTTAAGAATATTTTCTCTGCTGTGAGTCTTTTTTAGACACCATTTCCCGATTCACTCCTTTGTTCTGGCAGTGTCTGCCCCCTGGCAGGGCCCGTTGTGACCACCAGGAGGTCCTAAGAACAGGCACGGGGGAGTAACTCAGCTGATTATCTCTAGTAGGCTCTGGGGACTTACAGTCTGGCCTCCTCTCCTTAATGACACACTCCACCATGGGACCAGAAGAGACCTGGGGTAAATCTAGAAACAACTTTTATTTTATCGAAGAGGGAACTTAGGTTCAGAGAATACACTAAGCCACTTGCCCTGAGTCATGCGTGAAATTATAGACAAATTTTATGACTTTTTGACTCAGCTGAAAATAAAGCATTTTTTAAATGATTGAAGGACATGTACAAGAGCTATCACTCCTCCTTATCCCTGAATCTCAGCCCACCAAAACCCAAGGGGAAGGTTGATGTTCAGAGTTGAGGTAAGGGCTGACTCTCCCCTGCCCTAAGACTGATTCTCTAGGTTTGGGGTAGGGCCTGGAGGTCTGCATTCTTTCCAGATGCCTCTGTGGGTCAGCCAGTTGTGGGTGGCCCTGCCAGAGTCCCCTGTACTGTGTCTCTGTGCCTTGAAGGCTGTGGAAAGGGGTGATGACCAGGCTGACCCTGCCCTGTCTCCCAGGGGTATGATGCCCTCTCAGGGCTGCAAGAGAGAGACAGAGAACCCAAATCCACAGAGAGCCATGCCTTGGCCCTCCCCAGTGTGCTGACACCCCAGACTGTTGCTAGGGCCCTGGAAATGCTTCAACTTCACGAGGAAATGAGACAGGTGTCCTATCCTGGGGACAGCACAGGCCAGTTGTTTAAGTCTACCTTGCCCAGAACAGCCTCATTTCTGGGCTTCTGGCACCATCCTTGTAGCCAGTCATGGTCCAGAGGTCCCTGACTCCTTGTCTACCAGTTCATCTTTTGGAAGCTGCTGCCTTTCTGCCCCTGGAGGAATTTCAGAAACTCAGGAAGCAAACTCATGTATTTTCAAGAGCGGGAGAAGCACTGACAGCTTTCCCTCCTAACCCTAAGCTCCTCTGCTGGGGGAAACGGGGCGGCTCACGATTGGGAGGCCTTCTTGTGTTCAGAGCTCATCAGGTAGGCTCAGAGTGGGCCCCACAAATCTTAGCAAGTGGCCAGTGCAGTGTCCTGTCCACAAGGACACAGGCCAGCGCTCAGGCCACCCATTGGGCCTCAGCACTCCCCCTGCCTTTTTGATCCGACCCACTGGGAGGCCTCTGACTCTTCCTTCCTGGCTGCCCCCTGGGATGAAGGGACCCCAGTGGTATCACTGATGTCTTCCTTGCCCTTCTTTCTTGGTGCTGGACACATGGCCAAGCTGCCCAAGCAGAGGGAGAAAGTTCCCTGTTGTCAGTCCCTGCACACAGCCACCGGGGTGAGAGATGACTGTCCACATCCCCAAACATCATACCGCAAAGCCAGATCTGCTTCCTGAACAGGCTTCCCACGTGCAAGCTGCTTCCTTCCACAAGGACAGCTGGCCAGAGAAAAACAAGGTGCACAGAGGGAGGACTTGGTCTCTGAGGGACCTCATCCTGCAGTCCCTTTGTCACTAGGAATCATTAGGGAACACAGAGCTGTGTGACCAGGGCCCCTGACCCTATTGCACTGACAGAGAGCTCCTCCACGGTAGCTCGAGTGCCAGGCAGGATTTAGCAGTCCAACAGGTGCATGGAGACTGCCAGCTGAGGAGTCTGAGCCAGGCTCAGGACGGGGCTCCAGACCTGCCTCAACCAGGTCCAGGGCAGGTGGGTTCTATCCACTCCGCAGTTCAGGGTCTTCATGCTCTCTGAGCATAAGCCACCTAATTTGACCATTTCTGGGCATTCCCAATCCTATCCCCCAAAGGGAGCCTCAGCCCAGAACCGGGTACTCCCAGGCAGGGGCAGATCCCCACCCCGGGGAGTGGGTTGGCCTAGTGCAAGAACTCTGATGGGAACCATGTAAGGGTGAAAAGCTTGCTGGAATCTGGTCCCTGTGGGGTGAAGTAGGATTGCTGTTTGCCTTCCTTTCCATCAATGCTAATAATAAGGAAATTGTTTTCTGAGTTATTGCTTCCTATAGGCAGTACTATTATCATCTGCATTTTACAGTTGAGTAAACTGAGGCCTAGAGAGATTAAGTAACTGGCCCAAGGTCACACAGCATGCAAGCAGCACAGTCAGACTTTGAACCCAGGAGGGTCTGGCTCCAGAGCCCAGGTGTTTAATTCATCCCTGTACATACAGCCTCTCACTCAGGTAAAGAGGAATGAGATTGGCCCCGCTGGGGCCCGACGGTGGAGGGACTTAGGAATTTGCTCTTTGAAATGGGAAGACGGGAGGGCCTGGGTTTGGGCGTGCCTGGGAATCTTCCCTCCTGGAGGTGAGCAGGGGTGTCTGCAGCAGGCCCCCAGTCAGCCCAGACAAGCGGTGACAGTGTCAGAGTAACCCAGCTTGGGCACGAGCTCTACCTTCATCTAACTCCAGCCTCAGCTTCCTTCCCTTGACTCCCCATAGACGTTGCTGCCCAAGGGCACCAATTCTAGGGACAGTCCAAGTGGGATTTTAAAAGCAGAAGCCAGGGCTAGAGGAACGGGTGGGTTTGAAATGTCAGGAAAGGACAGCTCTTATCTCACTTGATTAGTCACTGTCCCCCCTTCTCACCAGAGCACTTGACTAGTCTTAAAAAAAAAAAAAAAAAAAAAGGAAAGAAAGGACAGCTCAAGGGGCAGGAGAGCCCCTGGAGAGTAGGGGTGGCCAAGACAGAAATCACCCACCCCCCCCACTCGCTTGCACCTGTTTATGTGGGTGCCCAGCACAAAGCTGGGTGACAGGAATTCGGGAGGTACTAACAGATGTGTCCCTGCCCTACAGGACTTTATATTTTGGTGGGGAAGAACAGATGATAGACAATCATAGTCGATTCTCCTTATTTGTAGTAGTTATGGTCTATAAAGTCACCGAGAACACTGACCTGGCTGGTCCTGGAGGAGACACGTATGCACCCTCACATCTCACATGGAGTCACGCACACACACAGAGGCTGGACGTGAGTCCCAGTGTGCACGTTCCCATCTGAGACTGAGCAAGGCCACACTCTGCCTTTCTGCTTCAGCTTTCCCAGTGAGGTGACCAAGTGACAGACATGGGGTGGGGGCATGGCCAGGGAAGGGCAGTCTAGTGCAAGAAGCTCTGGCCCAGGGCCAGCTGGACGGGTTTGAATCCCGGCAGCACCTGTGGAGCAGACTCAGGCAAGTCACATGACACTTCTTTTTTGTTTTTCTTTCAGACGGTATAAAAGTTCTGAAACATGACACTTCTTTAAAGTAATGATACAGTATTTTTTAAATCATTTTTATTTCAAAATATTAATTAAAGGGGTATAGGAGCTTCTATTACCTGGACAGCTTGTATCAATATGCTCAAGTCGGGGCTTTCAGTACGCCATCACCAAAACAGTGCTCACTCTGCCCGTTAGGGAAGCTTCCCATGCCCACACTCCTGCCCTCACCACTCCTTGGTTTCTCTTGTCCTTTATACAAGGAACATGACACTTCTGAGCCTCTTTTTCTCCTTGTAAAATATAACAGAATCTAGCAGGATGGAATGTTTGGGGATTTGAGATTATAATCTAGAGGAGATACGTATGCGTGTGTGTCTATATATCGATGGCATATTTCCCTGAACAAGCTACGGGTTCAGTATTCACTAAATCTGGCTTTATAGAGCACTACTGGGAATAATGAGAATTGACCATCTCTATCTGTAAATTATCAGAAGGAAACTAACACAGAGTGGCAATAGAGTCCCAGCGGGAAGCAGAGGGGCTAGACAGGAGTACCCTCTGAGGAGGTGACGCTGAGCTGAGACTCAAAGCATGAATAGGCACCAGGCATGTCACATCGGGCAGGGGACCTTTCCAGGCAGGGGAAGAGCGTGGCAGAGCTGGAAGAGGAGGAGAGAGAGGGAGAGCAAGCATGTGGTGGGGCTGGGGGCAGTGCCTGCCTTGGCTTAGCCTTCGTGTTGGAACTTCTTCCACCCACCAAGCTCCTGTGGCCAACCGGGCATAGGGGCGGACAGGGTACCCTGGGCTGAGCCTGACGTGCCTTCTCTCCTCTAGGGTAAACGTGAACCTCAACCTGGGCTACTACTTCCTCAAAGACCAACAGCAGAAGGCCTGGAACTGGTGGAATCTGGACATCCACATCCACGCACCCCCTTTCCAGCATATCTCCCTGAAAATCAACCAGTACATCCAGGTTCACATAAGGAGCCAGGATAAGATCATCTTCCGCTTTGCCCACAAATGGAAGCGGATATCTATAAATATGGGCACCAAGTATCAGGTAAGGCAGCAACACCCCCCACACACACACACACCTTCCAGGCAGGGTGCCTACTGTAGTGAATACAGGCTTGGACCACAGTGCTGTGCCACAGTCCTCTGGGCCCTATTCTGTGGCACACAGATATGTAGAAAAACAAGGCCATCTTCATTTCTCCAGTGCTTAACCACATGGAAGTACATTCATGTAACTTCCCCACGCCCAGGTCTCCACGGCCTGGCCAGTGCTGGCCCATCTTCTGTGGCATGAACCCTGGTGTTATCTGGCTTAAACAGATACGCTAAGTCAAGGACACTGCAAAGCTAGTCACCTTGCAAACACAGAATATATGCGTATTGGCCTTCACTATTCCCCTCCAGGAGAATCCTTTCTCCATCTTCGGTAGGTTACAAACTAAGGCAGAACTGGCCAGAGGTGGCCTCACTGGGGCAAACCCAGACAGAAGCCAGGGAAGCCCAAGATGGAAGCAGGGCTCGTAGGCCACCATCATGAAGTCCCCTGGCCCCAGCAGGGTGCAGCCCAGCCCCATGAAGGAGCGTGCAGCCTTTGGAAGGCAGGGGTCAGCCTGGGGTTTGGCCTCAGCCCACATCACCATAACCCATGTGGCCACAAGCACAGGCCAGATATGAGCGAGAGTATTTGGGGAGCAGCAAGAAGGTCACAGGGGGCAAGGCTGGGAACACAGGTTTGCTCTGAGAGCAAAGGTTCCAGGGAAGACTGGCACAGAGCTGGGTGGAAGGTGTGGCACCGGGCAGCAGTGACCCTCACCTCGCCTTTGTGAATCCCCACAGTTCATAATCCCGGAGGTGCTGAGTGAAATGAAGAGCAAAGCAATCCTGGAGGTGGAAGCCAGGCCCCTGGGTCGGAAGATCCAGATCCTTCTGGGAAAAATAAGTAAGGTCCTGAGTTACCAGACTATTTCTGATTTGGAAAACTTCATAGAAGACGCCAAGTTCTTGCTAACAAACACTAACTCAACGAACAGGCAGTCTCTACCCTGGTATTAGGGTAGTTACCAAATGATTCCGGGGCTTCTCCAGCTTCTCCAACCCAAATGTCTTGGGACGGGGCAGTCCTCAGGAATTGCAGGGAAAACCCCAAAGACCTATTATGTCTCTTGAGAGTTGGTTTGTAATTTGAGACTCCTTTGTTTAAAACACATACACACACATATTTGCAGGGGTGGACAGGATCTGGCTGGGTGGTTACCAAATGGTTCCGGGTCTTTTCCAGCTTCTCCAGGCCAAAAGCTTCAGCAGTCAGCTCTGACTTAACAACACTGGAACAAACAGTTGTTGTTTCAGTGGGCAACACATGTCAATGCCTGTCCTGCTTGTCCCTGCAGGTCTCATACAATGCAGCAGTTCTCTTGTGGCTGTGAGTCCTTGCCTTGACCCAGGACACTAACTATCCAGGCTTGAAGCCTAGCTCTGCCCTTTGTTGGCTGTGTGATCTTGGGCAAATGGCTTTCTACCTCAGTTTCTTCATCTGTAAAATGGATCTAGAAATAGAAGGTACCACCATAGAGCTGAGAGTTTTACATTGCTTAATAAATGCAGAGTCCCTAGAATAGTGTCTGGCTCATAGACACCACTCAGTAAGTGCCACTCCAAATTGTTGTTAGCTTGGCCTTCCTTTCATATCTGGGAAGCTCAGGGAAGTGTTTGTCCAACATGCTTCTCTTGGGTAAGGCCAGCAGAGCACAGCCCCACACAGCGTTCTCAGACCTCCTCATGATACTTGGTATTATTCACCAAGCCCGTGTCATGAGCCAAGTGGGCGCTGGGCTCAGTACTCTGCAAGTTCTAGCTCGTGTGGCTGTGATGTGGGCAGGCTTTTTTCAGGGACACTGGGGCTCAGAGAGTTTAAATGACTTACCCAGGATCACACAGAAGTCCGTGTAGTAAAAGTGGGCATTCCAGCCCACTCAACTACAAAGTGGCACCACTCTAGTGACAACATGGGTATTTTAACGACTCTCCACCCCAAGGTCAACAGCTCAAGGCATCTCCAAATGCTACTGTCCCTAATCTATTTTCTGGCACCAGCCTCTGTCCTGGGCCAGTCCCAGGAGCAGTCCCAGCCACTAAGCTGCTGCTTACTCTGCACAAATCATATGTCAACCTCTATGCAGCACCCCCCAAACACAGTGCTTCTTCCTAAAGCTAAGTAGGAGGGGAGGGGAAGCTCAGCGCCTGGGCCTCCCACACTTCCTGTACTGCCCCAAGGCTCTCTCCAACCCTAACCACATCACAAACATCCCTGCCCACCCCCACCAAGGCAGAGGGAAACCCAGACAGCAAGCCCACACCAGCCTACACTGTGACCCCAAACCAGGAGCCCAGCAAGACCCCCACGCCAGCTCCCTCCAATAGCTGGGACGTCGGTCACAGGTAACAATTATAAACACAAGCAGCTGAAACACAACAGGAAATGTGTAAACTGGATAGCGAGGGACATAAGGGGCCTCAGCAAGGATGGCCAGCCAGAAGGATTTTCAGCCTCCCACTTCCGTGGCGTGTTTTCTAAGCATCTCATTAACACGCCTTTGTCTCCCCTTCTCTCTCAAAAGAGGCCCAATGACCCTGGTTGATCCTGTTTGAGTGAGACTACTTAGTCCCATCCAGGGTGGTAAGAGAGGGTGGGGTTGTGTCTTATAAACACAGCTACCAACAATGCCTGAGCATAAGGAGAGGCAGAAGTTTCTAGAAATGGGAGGCTCAAGCCGGACAGCTCCAACAGAGTGCCTTTTACACAACCCCAAGACACCCACAAACTTCCCAGGATGACCTTCACTCCAGCATCAACCAAAACAGTATAGAAAACCCCTTCCCCAGGCTCAGCCTGGCAATGAGCCATTTCCTGCTATGACCTGTGACACCCAAGTGCCACCTCCGTGCTGATCTCCACTACCAACCTTCACTGGTGTCTTGTCTCCCCCCAGACCACCCCCACGCAGCTGAGCCAGACCAGAGCCTGACAGGGGCAGGGCACCAGACAGTCACTCTTGCTTCCGGCCTGTCGCCTAAAACACTGTTTCTTTGGTGCAAGGCAATGAGCCACAAATGGCATATGTGACTCCTGTGGCAGCGTCCCTGCACATACCACCGAGTCTGAGTGTCTGCTCAGTTCTGCACCCATGCTCAGTGTACACAGCAACCCAGTCCAGCCACACATCAAAAGCAGAAGCCCGGAGCACACGCCAAGCCTGCAGCCATCCCTCAGCCCCACCCCCACCACCGTCCCTCACCACACACCAGGATGGAACTGAAGTCACATGCTCCCTGGACCCAGATGGCCCTCAGTTTGGGTCTCAGCACTACTGCTTAGCTATGTGACTTTGGGGAAGGTAGTGAGCCCTTGTGACTCAGTTTCCTCTTCTGTCATATAAGACGATCAAAGAATATAGCTCAGAGTCACAATGAAGATTAAAGAAGATGACACAGGTGGACCACTCAGAGCAGTGCTGAATAGATGTTGGCTCTTATTATCACCACCCAGTTCCTCTCCCGAGCCTTCTCCCTGCCCGAGACTTCTGACATTATCTCATAGACATGGAAGTTGGAAACAGTCAGACTTGCAGAGGCATTTTCTTTGGACGCACCCTGTTTTAAAATCTTCTGTTGCCAAACATTTAAAAGACAGGAGATTTCACAGAGAAATGTGGATTTCCAGCTCTTAGTATAACTGCTGCCGTGTGGGGGCTGTTATCCAAGGCCGGGTAGAGCCCCACAGTCCTCAGGGACTATTTCTATAAGGAAGAGAATCACAACCCCTCATAGACCATGGAGTAAGGAAGTAGCCCACAGGATGGCCAGGACCAGAAAAATCCACGTCCCATCTTCTGTATTCGTTGCTAGGCTGCTGTAACAAAGTACCACACACTGAATGGCTTGAACCCATGGGAAGTTACCGACTCACAGTTCTGGAAACTAGAGTCCAAGATTACAGGGTCAGCAGGGCTGCGCTCCCTCTGAAGGCACTAGGGGAGGATCCGTCCCAGCCTGTGACAGTTCCCGGACTTGTGGCAGCACATTCCAGCCTTCACGCGGCGCTCTCCCTGTGAGTGGGTGTACATGTCTATCATATTTCCTTTTTAAAGACACCAAATGTATTGAATTAGGGGCCCACTCTACTCCAGCACGGCCTCATTTTAACTAAGCACATCTGCAATGACCCCATTTCCAAGTAAGGTCACATTCTGAGGCACTAGGGGTTAGGACTTCAACATATGAATTTGGGGGGACCAAACTGAACCTATAACACTCTGCCGCACACCCCAACCCCTCCCAGTCCCCCACATTCCTGAGAGAACAAATGCTCTCTGATTCAGCATCTTTTTATTTTCAGTAACTTGGCAGAAAAAGCACTTCTAGAAATGAAAATTAAGTTGGGCTGTTTACCAACAATATTGCCCTGGTAGGTTATACTCGAGGATTTCCTGATGGGTAAATAATCAGTAAACATCCCAAGGTAATTAAGGGTGTTTAGCTGGGCCATGCAACAAATCCACACTGAACACCCACCATGTGCTGAGAGTGGCCCTCTGCTCTTGGAGATTAGAGCCAGGGGACAGAGACGAGAGCAGCAGCAGAATGATGCCACTATTGCCTTATCAGGGAAGCCCAGTGGAGCTCAGGAAAAGGGGCACCAGGAATGGCACTGAGCTGCAGGATGAAGAGGAAGTTGGGGTGTGGCATTTCTGGGAGATCCAGGGAGAGGCAAAGGCAACGTGTGCAGAGATGCAGAGACCCAGACGACTCGGAGAGACAGGTCATGGCATGTGGAGATGCATTGGACACGACTCTTCCTTTGGCTGTCCAAACCCCAGTCCTCCTCTATGAGGAATCACCCTGAGAGCATTTAGTAATGGGCAGCAGTACCCTGCCTCCAACCACAGAAACAAAAAAAATAGATAGATTGTATCAGTTAAGGTGTAGTCAGAGATCAAACCAGTTATTTGAACAGGAAAAACTCCATGTGAACCAATACCAGGTTAATACTAAAAAGGGTAAAAGAGAACTTTAAGAATTGAACAGCAAAAGCAGGGTGCAACTATCTCTGTGTGGGGCAGCAAGTACGCAGGAAGTGGCTGCAGGGGCACAGAGGCTGGTTCACAGATGCTGCTCACTGGGATGCCAGGAAAACTCACCAGAGGGTGAGTGCCACCAGGAGTGCCGCCAGACCGCCCAGCCTCTGCTGGCAGCACAAGGAAGGAAAAGCACACACCAGAAACAGAGTAGACACCTCCCCCAGGCCATACTGTGTCCCTCCACCACCCAGCAAAGCCTAGCACTGCACAGCTGGTGAAGAATCTCAATGTAGGGCAAAAATGGGGAATTTGTAGCTAAGAGGCAATAAATTAAGTGACCCAAAGAAAATTGTCCTCCTTTGTTCCAGCACTTAAAGTTTAGAAACCAAACACACACACACACACACACACACACACACACGCCCCAAGGGGTGGGGGTGGTTAGCTGGCCTAAGATAAAAGCAAGCTGCAGTGACCAAGCCCAGACTCTGCCATAGCAGTGGAAATAGTATGGACCAACTTTCTCTGCTTTGAAAACAAAACGGACCTGTGAAGCCTTCCGTTTTTATCCTTCTGGTTCTCCAGCCTCTGGTCTGTCCCCACAGTCCCCTGTATCTTTCCAATAAAGTCCTTTCCTTCTCAAGGTAGACAGTGATGGCTTGTTTGCATTCGAGGACAATGACAGGCACAGAGGATGCATGGGGAGTAGACCAGGGCGCAGAGCCTGTGCATCTGCAGGAGGTTAAAGCTTTCTAAGACTGGGCTCTTGTTGTAAAGATATTTCAATGTTCTAAGCAAAGAACTGGGAATGAGGGCCTTGACCCAAGGCGAGGCCATTGGAAATACAGGGGTGGGGAGGAACTGCAGTGCTGTCTGGGATAGAGAAAGGGCAGCACCTGGTAGCCACAGGATGGTGTGGGACTCAGGCAATGGTCCCTCAGCAAATATTTATGGGCACCACCGCACACATTGCTCCAGGTGCTGGGCATGAGCAAAAAAAAGTTCCTTTCCCACGGAGCTTGCAATCTGGATTAGGGTTGAGGGACAAAAAACAAAACAGCAACTAAGCCAGGTGAAGGGAATAGCAAGTGCTGGAGCTCGGGAGGCTCCTACTGAACAAGCAAGCTTTCCGACCTCTGCATTATCGACATTTAGGGCCACGTGATTCTTTGCTGTGGGGACTGTCCTATGCAGGCACCTCGGGCCTCTACCCACTAGAAGCCAGTAACACCCCCTACACACCAGTCATGCAACCCAAGTTATCTTCAGACGCTGCCACGTGTCCCCTGGCAGAGAGGGACAGATCACCACTTGCTGAGGCCACTGCTACAGATCACGTTTGGGATTTTTTGTTGTTTTGTTTTCTTATGGCCTGGCACATCTATCTTGGCAAATGTTCCATGCATTTGAAAATAATGCATGTCCTGCACTTGTATTCTGAATTTACTAATGGGAAAACTCAGGAACATTTAGACTGTGGCACATTCTATAAAATAAGACTAAGACTCTTACCCGGTCCCCCCCAAAAGCCAGTATTATGAAAACAAGCAAACAAATACATAAGAGGAATGGCCTAAATTAAAAAAGGACGAAAGAGAAGTGACATCCAAGTAAAATGTGTGAACTTGAGTTTTAAAAAAAGCTGAGACATTTTAGGGAGACAATTAGAGAAACTGAAATATGGACCACATATATTATTGAATTTATTTTTTTAAGGTGTGATCACGCTATTGGGATTATGTAGGAGAATACTCCATTCTGAATTATTTAGGAGTAAAATTTAGCGGTAAAAAGAAATGAAGTCCGCAACTTACCTTCAGAAAGTTCAGCAACAGAATATGAACATCTGTATGTGTGTGTCTGCATACACTGATAACCCAAACCCACTTGGCTTTCATTTAAAATGTGTAAAAGAATCCAACCTTGTATGAAAAAATATTTTGGAATATACATTTAAAAAATCTGGAAGCTATATGCCAAACATTTAATTGTACTTTACAACTGAAGGTTCATTTATGAAAGACTTTCACATTTTAAACCAAAATTTAAGCACTACAGAAACGTCTAGTAGTGAGCACATATCTACAATCAGAAAAAAAGGTTTTTTAAAACCTTTCATTTAAAAAAATACATATATATACATCTATCAGGCTGTACTGGGTTTCTAGCAGCTGTTTCCTTTTTGTATAAATTCAGTGCTGAGGAACAGAAGACAGCTAAGCTAGCAAAAGAACCAGGGCCAGAAAGGGCAGCACATGCCTGTATCTCAGCAGTTTAGGAGCCTGAAGTGGGAGGACAGCTTGAGACCAGGAGTTCAAGAGCTGGTCATTGAACTATACCCCAGCCCGTTCAGGCAAATGACTCCTTGTCTCAAAGAACAACCACAGTAGAAAAGTGCACCAAAAGGGAAGCAATAAGGTCCCTCTTTTCTGAGAAGCAGAATCTCCCATCAACATCCCCAGGTTCCTTTAACTAATGGCTTTTAAGGTTGACTAAGGCTGACTATTCCCTCTTACTCATGATGTAACAGTAGAAGAGAGCTGTAAGAGATGGTATTGTTAAAACAGGTGGGGGAGAGGGTTGGTGCCCATAGCACAGTGGTTATGGCACCAGCCACATACACTGAGGCTGGTGGGTTCAAACCCAACCCTGGGCCAGCTAACCAACAATGACAACTGCAACAACAACAAAATGGCCGGGCATTGTGGTGGTCACCTATAGTCCCAGCTACTTGGGAGGCTGAGACAAGAGAATCACTTGAGCCCAGGAGTTTGAGGTTGCTGTGAGCTGTGACGCCACAGCACTCTACCAAGGGTAACATGGTGAGAGACTGTCTTAAAAAAGAAAAAAGAAGAGAAAATGAAAATGGGGGTGGGGAGATGGGGGGAATGTGTGTTTATTACTACTACAATAATACTAAATTTTAATATAATTATTTGTGCTGACAGTATTCAGGAAATTGGCAGTTTTGCAAACAAAGAAACAATGAAATTGTCTTTTAACAAATGAAGCATTAGGATGCTTCAAAATAAATCTTTCCAAGATAATTATCTTGCCAAAGGAATTCACACAGTACAAGTAAAACGGGGGAGATGTGACTAAGATTGGTGGAGTGTATTAACATCAATATCCTGGTTGTGATATTGTGCTATAGTTTTCAAAGATGTTGTTATAATGTAAGAAACTGGATACAGGGTTCATGGGATCTGTCTTCTTTCTTACAACGGGATGTGAATCTCCAAGTTACCTTAATCAAAATTTCAATACAAAATTTTAACAGAATCTACATGCATATGAGACACATGAAGACAAAGTAGGAAGCAAAAATCTTTATTTTTTAAAAAATTCACATTTATTAAAAACAGCAATTTCTAGCCAAATAATATAAAGCACTTTAAATTAATTATTTGAAAGTATGTACACTCTTTGTATAAGTAAACACTTGAAACTGTACAGATTTAAACAAATATTCATTTAGCAAACAAGCTGGATCACTGTCACCTACTCAGCACTTTATAAAGTGTCTGAGTGTTTCAAGAAATAAAAGATCAAAACACAAGTATGAGTGCCGTTAAATATTTTTATCCTTAAGAATACACTTTTCCCTGTACATCAAATTAAATCAGTCACAGTATTTATAGTATAATAATCATGCCCTCATTTCTTTGGAAAGGCTATTAAAAAATCAAATGTACATATAATACAAAAAACTGGATATTTTACAGTTTATTTCATTGAACAGGTATTTAAAAACAGTTAAGTAAATATAATCTTCCTAATTTATTCATTTCATGGCAAAGAACGAACATGGACCCTCTTACCTTCTACCTTCCCCTATATAGAGTAATAAGCTCTATCAAGCATCATCCATCACCAATTTAAACTGAGTGAACAACAAGTGACCTGTTAACACACGACAGACATCAGGATATAGACGCACCTGTGCCCTACCAAAGTGCTGGCTCGGTCATGACTAGTGAGTTTCAGGCACCGACGGCACCACCGGGACTGCTGGTCCCATTCCAGAACCCTCTGAAGTGTCCCACCCCTGGATTAGTGTTTCAATAACTCAGAATTCCTTTTGAACCAAGAAGCAGGTTACATTTACTGTAACACTGGAAACAAAAGCAGTCCAATCAGGAAATAAGAATTTGTGGGAAAATTCATGGATGTACATAATTTATTTACGATCCCTGCTATGATATGGTACGGTAGTTCTATGGTGTGGGCAGTGTTTGTCAGCCTCATGTCTGGTGGTAAAATGTACTCTGCTGTAGCAGGGCTGGAGATTCACAGAGCTGGTACACGGCACAGCCAGCTGAGGGAACAGACAGGACGTGAAAGTGTTCGCTTTTCAAAGAACTGCTGAGACCAAAGGCAGTGCGCAGAAGGGTGGCGACCCTGACCCTAATTCAGGAGACGCGCTATTCTTCAGGTTTCCTTCTCTCCATTATATGCCAGACTTTAGACACCTAATTGGTACTCTGCACTCACAAACACTGACTATGGGACCAGGAAGATCCTCATTAAAGACAGTGCACGCATCTATCACGAGGAAACTGCAGCTCTCGCTTCGCAACGTTCTGTACCTACCAACGCAAGGAATACCGAGCCGGGAGCCTTACACCAGGTCCCTGCATCTTCAAACTAGCTCACATCAAACGGAGAGAAAGAGAACACCCTGACTTCCCAGAAAAGCAGAACCTGTTCTCAGAAGCAACCAATCTACTCCAAACTACGTAAACTTCAAAATGACAGGAGAAACGTTACAGCAAATAGAGAGTAGAAATAATATTTCCACAAATTAAAAGAACAGTCTGCGGAATGCTCAGTGGTTAAAAGTGTTATAGTGTTTCAGGTTCTAGCAAATGTTCTCATTAGCTGTGTTTCTGTGAAGTTCTTCTTGACTTATCGTGACCTGTTTTCATTGCACATCTTTTGTGAGGAACCATTTCACTACGTGCCGCTACGGCAACCTCTTAAAAACTTTATATTTCTTGTGACCATTTAAATGAGACAGTTACCACTACTCACAGATTAATCTTTGGCATTTTGATGCTTTTAAAAGGGAAACACTAAAGTCTTAACGCTTTGCCTGTATTTCACTTTGCAGTCAGCACCGAGCAGCAAGCTTGTGTGGCTCTCAGGGACGTCCTCACATTCCTCAGCGTTCTGCAGGCTGCAGGACTTCTCAGCCCTCTCCTCCCAACAGACCATGCACGCACACAGCCCGGTGGCCTGCTCACTTAGAAACCGACAGCACGAGGCTCAGCTGAAAAGCAAAGTGAAGAGGCAGGTTAGTCCTGCTGAGGAAAACCATTAGAGCTTCAGAGACAGCACCAGAGAAAAAGACCAAGATTTTTATGAGGCCAACAAACAGGCTGGAGCGGGTCCACAAAGCCGGCTATCTCTGAAGCTGCCACCGGGCACTGAGCTTGGAAGCCCTGTGGAGAGTTACACTCCACCATCAAATCTAGGCTGTTAGTCATCTAAACTCCAAGGAGGATGATGGCAAAACTATACAAACACTAACAAATGACAGAAATACATCTACATAATCTACTGCACACTGTCCTACGCGGAATGTGTTGTGGTAAGAATTGTGTGTAAACTGAATTCTTTACGTGACTTTTGAAATGCTTAAGAACACACATGACAAGTGCATTTCAGCTCCTGCCTACTCTAACTAACCACAGGGGGTGACCTACTTACTCTCTAAAGGAGGGCCAGGACATCAGAGCCAGGTCACAGTGGTGACAGGAAGGGAATGGGAGCCTGCACACTAGGTGCCTGTCACTCAGGACCTGGGGACCTATAGGTAAACAGATCTGGCTATGAACCTTTCTCTATGATACAACTGCCTTGGTAATCTAGATTCCGCGCCCCCCCCCAATCTCTTTTATAAATCTGTGCTGCCAGAAGAAGGATACAAAATATCTGGCCTGTCAAGGTCAAGAAAGGCCATGGAGGACTGGGTACTGTGGCTCACGCCTGTAATCTTAGCCCTCTAGGAGGCTGAGACAGGTTGGAGCTCAGGAGTTCCAGACCAGCTTGAGCAAGAGTGAGACCCCATCTCTACTAAAAACAGAAAAACTAGCCAGACATTGCAGTGGGCACGTGCTAGGGAAACTGAGGCAAAAGGATCACTTAAGCCCAAAAGTTTGAGGTTGCTGTGAGCTATGTTGACACCACGCCACTCTACCCAGGGCAACAGAGTGAGACTATGGCAAAAACAAACAACAGAAAACAAAAAAACAAAAAAACAAAAAAAAAGGAAAGGCACCTGGTTAAAAGAAACTAAAGAGACGCGACACCTGACAACAATGCATAATCTGGGACTGGTCCTGGACTGAGGGGGAAGAATTCTATACAGGGCATTACTGGGACATTAATGAAATGTGACTGTGAACTGTGGATTAGACACTAAGGCAGCACTTAGTGTGTTCGGATAACGGTATGGGAGTAGCGTTAAGAGACTGTCTTTGTTCTTAGGAAATACAGTCTGAGTTACTGAGGCATAAGCGGCACAATCTCCGGTGATGGGGTGCAGGGGGAACAAGCACAAGTGAGAACAAAGCAAACGAAACAAAGTTAAATTAGGGAAAGGATATGTGGGAGCACCTTACACCATTCTTGCATCTTAAGTTTGAAATTATAACAAACTTACAAAAAAATTTGTACTGCCATATATTAGACGTTACGATACAGCTATGCTGTATCTACCTTCATGCAACTGCCTGAGAAAAAAGAAAATTGGACAACTAGGGTGAACGGTCTCTCTTGGATGATCACAACCGTGAAACTCAAGTGAGCCTTCCTCCCCCACTCAGTCTCAGCGATGACCCTTCTTGTCACTCAGAAACATGAAGCACTCAGGTGAGTCTCCACCTGCTCCCCTCATGCCCACCACCTGTATCTGTGCCTAGCAAAGGCCTCCCCCGGACTATTCCTGAGATTCTATCCCACAGTCTACTCAAGATGTTTTCCTCTCTCTCAATCTTCCTCATGAACATATAAATATGCACTTTCCCCTATCTTTAGAAAAAAAAGGAAGGACAATATAGTAACTAATAAAAATAGTCATCTAAAACAGACGTGGTAGGCGGCACCTGTGGCTCAAGGAGTAGGGCAGGTTCGAGCCCAGCCTGGCCAAAACTGTAAAACAAATAAAACAGATGTGGTGGCACATGCCTATGGTCCCCACTACAGGAGGCTGAGGCGAAAGGATTACTTGAGACTGCAAGTTCATAGTAAGACCCCGCCTCCCCAATCTCTTAACAACAACAACAAAGAAAAGTAGTTATCTACAGAGAGGGAGAGAAAAGGCTGGGGCAGATTGGAAAGGGCAAATTTACCTTGTTCTACAACTCTGACTTGGAAATCATAGAAACATTTTAGGTAATTTAAAAAAAATTGAAACAGGGAAAGAATCTCTAAATATTAAAAATAAACCTAACTACACATCAAGTTAGTGGTATAATCACAAAAAGTAATTACTTCAAATGACTTATAGAAAGTATTTTGACTGTACAATTCTGGACCTAAAGATTTTAAATGACCCCTCCCTCATCTGTTTCTCAGGTAACCAAACAAAATGACCCCATTTCACCCCCCAGCTCCCATCCCCCTCCAGAAGATGTACTCCTCAAAAGATGCATCCACACTGCACCATCACCTGTGCCTCTCCCCCAGCTCTACCCATTCCAACCAGGCTCTCAATAGCACGACCACTGTCCCCAACACTCTCCAGTCCTTACCACATACTAAATTTCTAAATCGAACTGAAGACCAGACATAGAACCGCCTCCACAGCACCAGGCTACTCCAAATATATAATGGGTATTCTATAACTTCCATTTTTTTATTTGAAATTTGGGCATCTTATGCGCATTTTAAACAAATTATTCAGCAAGCTACACGCCACTATTTGAGTCTTTCACAAACACATTATTCATAGTAAACACAGCAATATTCAATATTGGAAAGGACTGAAATGCAACTAAACATTCTAAAACCATCCCCCAAAGTTTAAGAGAATTAAAAGTTTGAATTCTTGCTCATTGGAATAAAATAATGTGCAGTTTTTAAAACTAGTTTTTAAAATATGTTTGCCCAAAGACATTTTCTACTCAAGTAAAATACCCAAGGACACATAAAAGTAATAGGGATCTTCACTGTTCTGGATTACCTGTTCCATGGAAGGACAGGAAATGACCTGGACGTCAGCAGGGCTGAACTCTTCCTTTAACAGAGCATGGAACTTCTGGAAGACTTGCTGAATATTATTCTTACAGAGAAGGAGAAGAGATCACATCATATAAGTCATCTTAAACATGAAGCACTATAATGTTAAAGAGTAATGTTATTTGCCAAAATGAGGGAAGGAAATAGATCTTTCATGATATTACAAAAGATATGTATATAATTTGCACTTAATATTTTGTATGCTGGTACAATCCAACTGAGACTTATCAGATAATACTTTCCCTGGAAAAACTAACTCTAGCAAGCCCTGTCCCCCTAGAGAATAATAAGAGTCTTCAACAGTAATTTCTTACACAAAAGATAATAACGTTCCCAGACATATAAAATGCCCAGCAAACAACTGGAAGTTAAGAGTCCAAAATTTGCTCTGACATTTAATCCCTTGGTGGCCGCTGCAAGCCATTTATTTCCACTTCTCACCAGTAAAATGGTGCATAATTCCTGAAATGTTGCTCTCTTGAGTATAGGGACACAGGCAATGTAAGGGTCTGATTTTTACTTGTTTGTTTATTTAAAAATTTCTACTTTCAGGGGTAACAAAAAAACTTAAGACAAATTCAAAGTGAAAAAAAATAGGTATTACACAGATGCAGGCTTTGTAAACCTTTCAAGAATCATAGTAATTCTTAACTTCACTAGAATAATGTATCAACATTTCTAAGTGTTTTCAGGAAGAAGAAAATGGTAGACAAGGCAAGAACACTTGGAAGCCACTGGCTAGAACTCAAAGAATTATGATACTCACTCTCACAGGTTTAAACAAGATGAACTCAGTATCTTTATTGGACAGGTACAAAGACATACTTCTCAATGTCACAGGCAGCTTTGCTTTTATTGTCTTATAGGCAGTTGCTACAAGGTCACTAACCTTTGCTAGAAAGAAATTAACCTCGTTAGTGTCACAAAGAAAAGGAGAAGAAACATTTCCATTTTAATTCAGAGGGGAAAAGGGAAGAGGAACTAAAAGACTCTTTATTTCCCCAAAGAATTTCTTTCATTTTCTAGTTAATTTATCAAGTTTAATCACAAGCCCTATAAACATTCATTAAAATATCTACTATATACAAAATCCTAATCCCTAGGGCTAAAGCAGCAAAAAATAAAAAATTCCCCCAGTATGTTTAATGACCTTCATGGAGGCTATAATATGTTCCTTTGGAGTTTGGAGACAAGAGATTAAGGTTAAAAAGACAAAATCATTTTCAGAGAGATACTAGTAAGAATTACTTCATAAGGAATGAGCATATTCATTTGCAGAACTGACTCACAGTAAGGAATGTTTGCTAACCATCTTGCTTAGATCACTCAGAAAATATCTACACATATATGAGGGGAACTAAATATCCATTGTTACATTCTTAAACTATATCATCACTAAGGGAAAACAATTTCAGAAACTGTAACCAAAATAACTGTAACCCCATGTATTGCCTGAAGAAGCTATAGGGACAAGGGTACTGAACTGTATGAAGCATTTAAAAGGAAAAATTACCTAGAAAGCTACAAAGAAAAAGATGATTAGGCTTGGCACCCGGAGCTTAGTGGCTAGGGCACCGGCCACATACACTGGAGCTGGCAGGTCAAACCCAGCCCAGGGCTGCTAAACAACAACAACTAGAACAACAACAACAACAACAACAAACAGCCAAGTGTTCTGGTAGGCACCTGTAGTCCTAGCTACTTGGGAGGCTGAGGCAAGAGAATCGCTTAAGCCCAAGAGTTTGAGGTTGCTGTGAGCTGTGACGCCACAGCACTCTACCGAGGGCTAGAAAAATGATTAATAACTTCAAAGATGCTCAACCTCACTCATAACTACAGAAATGCAAATTTAAAGCAGTGAGATATTTACAGATTGACAGAAATTACTAAGATTATGCATATCCATGTTTGACAAGGGTGTGGGGAAACAGGCATCTTTATTGCCACTGCTGATGGGATTATAAAACACCTCAACCCCTTAGGAGGAGTACTAAGCAATATCTAGCAAAACTAAAATACACATATTCCTTCCTCTAACATTTCTACTGCTAGAAATCTACTGATGGGTACACTTATAACAATATCAAGATGTGTATAGGAACATTTATTGAAGCGTCTGTGGGGGGAAAAATACTGAAAATAATTCAAGTATCCATTAACAGAATTACAAAGTAAACCATGCTTTGATGACGCATTCTATGTATCTAATAAACAGAATGGACAGAGCTGCATGTGCTGGTACAGAAAAGTTCTTATATACATAAGAAGTTTAAAAAAAAAAAGCAAGAGGAATAGTACAATCTCATTTGGATAACATTTTTTTAAATCCACATGCTAGTATATACATCAACAATTTGGGGGGAAGAACTATGATAATGATTAGCTTTGTGAGAAAGACTAGTCTGGAGGTGGCAAATAGAATTATTTTTTCATTTTATACCTTTTCACAGTTCAAATTTTATACCATGTAAAGATACCTTTTTTTCCAATTGAGAAGAGTTCCAGTAAAGCGGGATAATAAAATGCCAATGCTCTCAAGAAGAAAGAACAAATAAATCCAGGAATTGCTTATTTGTCATAAACTGATGAAAGCGCCTTTAAGACTCTTACTCCCTCCCAGGGGCTCTGGTTCTTTTATCACTAACACACTTCAACAGTGATCACTAAATCTGTTTTCAGAGCCCTTGATAATCAGAAAGTAGGTGTGCAGGCTAGTGAATAATGTGGCCTCTAATTCCTAACAAGGGTGTATTCTCAGAGTTAAATTAATGAATGGGCACCCTAGTTTATGGCTCACTCTCCTGTGAGTTTATCCTAAAATTATTCCTGAGAACCTGGCCAAGTATGCATGAACCAGTAACCCTCGGCTTCCAGGGCAGAGGGGCCCAACACAGTTTCTAGATTGTCTTCCATATTCCTACCCCAAGAGGCCCATAAATCTCTCTTTGACATTTAAGTGTGGGCTTTAAATATTATAGACCAAGAGAAACCAACTTCACATCTCTACTGTGGCAAAATGGGATAGAAGATACAACTACTGCGTAAAAGATAAACTGAACTGCCATTGCTGTGTTCACTAAGATGTTCTCACCAAAACAGCATGCCCTATTTCAATCTGTCCTTTTGTCAGTTTCCTTTTATCTACTCCTGCTTTACTAATAACAATTCTAGTTGTGCTTAAGAGCACAATACACCTAACACTGTGAATTCTATTAGGGTTGTACTTGAGAAAACGGCTTCAATTCTGAGAGAAAGGATATGTCCAAAGGGAAAGAACAATACATTAATTATATATCAAGCACCTTGGCTTAGATATACTAAATATGCCCATGCCTTTTGCCAGTTTCTACCTATTTTAAGAAAGATTTGTTGCACCCAAGAGTTTCATTTACATAAACATTCAAAATAAAAATTAGCTCCCAATTCTAAGTAAGCCCTATAAGTACAATGGGAACCTTGAGCCAGAGGCTCCAATTAATTCTAAAACAATCAGAATTCTATCGAGAGCCACTCTGAGTTAATGAATTGAAAATTCTGCTCCTTGACTATGAGGAATCAGGACAGGTAGTTAACACTACAAGAGATTATGATTAGAATTTCCAGTACTGTCAGTTAAAGAATCTGATTTTCTGTCTTTTGACAGAATGTAATACTCCATCAAGTGTGCTCTTTTGATGAGATGTTGAAGACTTCAACACAAATGTTTAAAATAAGGAAGTAAAACCTTCCCTATCTCTGTCACAGTAAACAAAGGGCCTAAAAGCAAGTCCCAAAGTTTATCTGTGATCCGATCAATTCAACCCTGCATTGACATCATCAAGGTTCACAAGAGGAACTTCTTAAATAAAAGCCTGTCTTCATTTCAAAGACAACTGATAATTCTCTGCTAAGAGACACATAGCTACTCTTTTAATTTCTCAGTTCAACTTCACATTAACCTGCGGCATTAATAATAAATGAACATTCTGGAGGCTTAGAATGGCTCCAATCCTTTTTCCCAAGGGAAATGAACACCTGACAGATACGACATTCTTTCAATATGGAAAATCAATCACATTAAAAAGTTGACTCCAGATGCCTGCAGACAGCCAATTTTCATGGATATAAAGCTAGAATCATTTTTGGTCTTTCTTGTAAGTGAAAAGTCCTCCAACTTGGACATGACTTACCCATAATTAAACATTGATTTTTTTTTTTCAGGTTCTGGCCGGGGCTGGGTTTGAACCCACCACCTCCAGCATATGGGGCCAGTGCCTTACTCCTTTGGGCCACAGGCCCTGCCCTAAACATTGATTCTTTACCATTTTGCCCTTTTTAGTTTCAAAGGATCTCTATCACAATACGGGACAGGGCATGGCCAGAAATACCAATTTAATAAAATGATTTATTCTGGTTTTATGGTAATTTAAAATGCCACAAAACATACCAAGAATAACCCACAAAGTTAGTTTTGATTTTAGATGTCTAATTTCTAAAGTTAAAGACAGAAAGAAAAAAAAAAAACCTCTAGCACAAAAAAATTTACATTTAATAAAGAATAAGATTGGGAATATCTCAAATACATCTGCCAATCAGATGATAATATTGCCTGCCAACTCTCAAACCTCAATTTTTACAATATTTTTTCCAAGCTCTCTAAAATGTCAAGAGATGATGTAACTTGAAGAAAAAGTGGAACAAAATAATAGCCCAACACTGCTTTATATAATTAAAAATAGGTGTACTCTTTTCACAATTTGTCCTATCAAGTAAGATTTTCATCAAAGCTTAAACACAATGAATAGCAGGTATACAGATATCAGCAGAGTCAAAGTGTTTCTATCTAAGCCGTAGTTTATTTTTAACTGAGTATATACTTAAAATTCATCCCTCCTTGGAACGCTTGTTAAAATGGAAGTAGTGCTGGCCAATTAAGACCTGTCAGCTCCAAACTGAGCCTTGCATAAGCTCAGATAGTACCACCCCAGAGTGAGTAGGAAACCTACTCTAAGCTGTCACAGCAAGGACCATATATATACAAATTAATAACATCCAAAAAAAGAAATCCACAATAATAAAATCAGAATACCTGGTTGTGCCCAAGGCTGCTGCGAGAGAGTATATTTGGGGCCTCCCTGAGTGGCCATTGCTTTTAATGCTGAAACCTAGTCCAGGAGACAAAAAGAAAAAGGTTTCATGTCACTGATGCCAATTCAAACTGCTATTGCTCTCAAAGGATCTACAACACCATTTAAATCTATTAAAATGTAATGATAATCAAATGATAACAAAATGTGTCGTATCTCATAATCCTTTACAGCTAATGACATTTTTAGCTCAACTTCTTTTATGATTTCAAGGCATACGTTATCTTGGGAAAAAAAACACACCAAAGTCCTGAGGCATTCTGGCTGGAACACTGCATAGCAGGAAGACAAAACAGAAGCCCAAGAGAAATGTCAGCACAAAGCAGGTCTGTTTTAAGTGGACTGTTATGTTAATATTAAATTATTATCGCATGTTATTAGACAAGTGTCACCGCAGCAGGAACAAAATCTTTTTTATATACTAGAGGATTTTTTTTCCTATTGTATCATAGGCAGTGAGAATGCCATTAAAACAAATAAGATTTGCAAATACCAACAAGAGGCACGTTTGGCCAACGAGTGCTGAAGACAGAGACTTGAAAGCCCATTTTCTATTTATCTCTTTTCACCTGTCAGCAGCAGCATAGGAAAGCAAATACGTTTTGCTGCTTGGACAAGACTCTTCTTAAGACAGTAAACTGTGGTGAAGCTAAGGGGTAGCTGGGAGGGAGAGAGACACAACTGCATAAAATACTGTATTAAATGGACAGTTGTGTGCTAGTGACCCAAGCTTCGGCCCCAGTCTCACTGGAAGAGTCTCACTAGAAAAACTTGAGAACCAACTCTTCACATTCCTCATACAAAAAGCCATATAAACACAGGCAGTAGCTGGGTTACAAATGAGATAGGTTCTGTAGGTTTGTGCTTAAGTTGAATTTGTATTACCTGTAATAGCCTCTATTCCTAAGTGTGACTTGTAGATAAGCTAGATGTTTGTAACTCAGGGACGCACTGTATTCATGCAGAGGATGGGCAGAGAGAGAGTAAAATGCTGACTCGAATCTCTCCAGCCTTCTATTTCTACTTTATTTCTAGTTTCTATTTCTCCTCCTGGACCACTCTAGGCCTTTGCTCATGCTGCCTAAGTGTGTAAAATCACCCCTTTCCTCCTCTCACTCTATTCCTCTATGTGCCTTTCTTTTTCACTGTGAGATGCAGCCTTTAAGAACAAATAGTGTATATAAATTATTAGAAACTACGAAAAAGCAGACACATTCACATTTTAGTGTATATTGTCCTAAATGTTTTCTAATACAAAAACATAAATACATTAACGTGTAATACACATTTATAAAAGTGGAACACAGGCTCAGCACCTGTGGCTCAAGCGGCTAAGGCGCCAGCCACATACACCTGAGCTGGCGGATTCGAATCCAGCCTGGACCCGCCAAACAATGACAGCTGCAACCAAAAGATAGCCAGGCGTTGTGGCGAGCGCCTGTAGTCCCAGCTACTTGGGAGGTGGAGGCAGGAGACTCGCTTGAGCCCAGGAGTTGGAGGTTGCTGTGAGCTGCGATGCCATAGCACTCTACCCAGGGCAACAGCTTGAGACTCTGTCTCAAACAAAAAAAGGGGGGAACACAATGTTCCATGAACTTTTTTCCCTACTTAAGTCTATATTCTGGTTATTTTTATGTGTCAAACAGTTGGGGGTTTTTTGTGGGGTTTTTTGAGACAGAGTCTCACTTCGTGTTCCTGGATAGAGGGCCACGGCGTTATAGCTCACAGCAACCTCAAACTCCTGGGCTCAAGTGATCCTCTCATCTCAGCCTCCCGAGTAGCTGGGACTACAATGCCTAACTATTTTCTTTTTTTTTTTTGAGACAGAGTCACTGTAGCTCAGGCTGGTCTTGAACCCCCTGAGCTCAGGTGATCGGCAATCCACCCACCTCGGCCTCCCAGAGTGCTAGGATTATAGGCATAAGCCACCCGCCTAGCCTCAAACAGTTTTAATAGTACGATTAAATTACTATTAGTTTAATGACACAATTAATTACAACTATGACTATATTAAAAACAAATAGTAACTTATATATTCATCTCCAACTGCTATCCAAATAATTTACTTAAAGTTAAACCTCAAAGAGCATTTTCTTCTGAAGTTTTCCCCAAATATCCGTATCTTTTTAAAAAACCCTACACAATCAACCAAGACCCACTATCTCAGACTGATGATCTTGCTTTTCCTTTAGGTTATACATCCTTGAAATCAGGAATTAAATTTATAGGTCAAATTCTATTGCATGTACTACACCAAGAAATAAATTTAAACTTACAGCATTACTGAGGAAATTAATAACACTTCAGAGCATTCAGAGTAAACTATAGTTGGACGGTGCCTGTGGCTCAATGGGTAAGGCACCAGCTCCATATACAGAGGGCAACGGGTACGAACCCAACCCTTGGCAAACTGCAACAAAAAATAGCCAAGCATCGTGGTGGGTACATGTAGTCACAGCTATTTGGGAGGCTGAGGCAGGATAATCGCCTAAGCCCAGGAGTTGGAGGTTGCTGTGAGCTGTGACACCACAGCACTCTACTGAGGGCGATAAAGTAAGACTCTGTCTCTTAAAAAAAAAGAGTAAACTGTAGTAATCCTAGCACTCTGGGATGTCCAGGTAGGTGGATTGCTTGAGCTCAGGAATTTGAGACCAGCCTGAGCAAGAGTAAGACCCTATCTCTAAGAAAAACAGAAAAGCTAGCCAGGTGTTGTGGCAGGCACCTGAAGTCCCAGCTACTCAGGAGGCTGAGGCAAGAAGATTGCTCAAGCACAAGAGTTTGAGATTGCTGTGAGCTATGATAACACGGCCCTCTACCCAGGGTGACAAAGTGAGACTATGTCTCAAAAAAAAAAAAAAAAAAAAAAGGAATAAACATGTAATACTTTATCAAACTGCTGGAAGGAAAACAAATATTTTCTACATTATAAGTCTGATTTTTCAGCATAAACTGGTCCCACATGAGAAAGCACTTTTAGCTTAGATGTACGCCTAAAGTTATATTTCCCTTAAAATGCCTTACTTTATACTTTTTATTAAAAATTATACTTTTTATTAAAATTATACTTTTATTAAAGCAAAATCTTTACCTCAAATTTGCCATATTTTGCTATAAAATAACATCTCTGCAGCACTTACAGTTAACAACATGCTTTTACCCATAAGCTCTCATATACAGTCCTCACAGTGCTTCATTAAGCAAGGAGGGTGGATGTTAGACCTCTCTCCACCACAGAGATTAGGAACCCAAGGCTTGGAGAAACTGATTTGCTAACAGTTTCAGTCAGCAGGTGTAGTAAGAATTAATGAAAAAGAAGTATCTCAACCAGAAGAGCCGACAAAGAAGCCACGTAAACAGAAGAGGCCAATTTGGAGTAGATGACGGGGATGAGAATCACACCCCGAGTCAAAAACAAGTCTGGCAACCTAAACATGTTCTCCACCACTAGCATGGTTTACTTTACTATGCCAACTCACATATATTTTGAAAAATTAGTCCAACTTAGAAACAAGCTGAAGAAATTTTGTGGTTACATCCTAATGGTAAAGACTGAGACCTGCAAACATATATCCAAATGAAAGATGAAATGCCGTTGCCTTTCTATACTTACGAATATTGTTTTTCCTGTAATCATTTATCATGGTACAAGCACTAGCTGCCTTATAAAACGTTAACTACATAAAAGGATGAGATTCTGCACTTGCAAGTGATTAATGCTGAGGTTTACTTTTGAGGAAAATCTTTTTTTTTTTTTTAAATTGAGACAGTCTCACTTTGTCACCCTTGGTAGAGTGCTGTGGTGTTATAGCTCAAGGCAACCTCAAACTCCTGGGCTCAAGCAATTTTCTTGCCTCAGCCTCCCTAGTAGCTGGGACTACAAGTGCCCGCCATAACACCTGGCTATTTTTTGTTTGTTTGTTTAGTAGGCCTGAGCCGCGTTCGAACTCACCAGCCCCAGAGCATGTGGCCGGCGCCCTAACCACTGAGGTATAAAATCATTTTAAAGTTTTAAAACCTTTTACCCTGTCTCTGCTATTCAGAATGCTAGTATTAATCACCAGGTAAAAAGTGGAAAATGTTTGATCTACAAGTACTAAGATGTGAAGTCTTAAATGATCACGTATCTGAACTCTAGGGCTTATATCTGTGTGCACAAATCTTTGTCTCCAACTCCTGCTAGGACAGGAAAAGACCTGAATCTGAAAGAAGACAAAAGTAAAAGGGATGCTCAGTCCTCCAGGCTGTAGCATTCACTCAGTATTTTGACTAGAAACTCACTGAGCAGCAGAGCGGGAACAGGGTTGAAAGAGGAAAGTGACTACAAGAAGTCTGAACAAGGGGCAGCACAGACTCTTCAGAGACAGGTGAGACTGGTCCCTTCTCCAAGATGAGGGCCTTCCTCGCCCAATCCTATAGTGAAGGGAGTATAAAATAAGGCCACGAACAGCACTCAGGAATCTCTACTATTCACAGATAGCATGTCCTTAGAGAGCCATTATATTACTCAGATTTGAAGATTTTCTATATAAGCCACTATTTATTTCTTTATTTCCTTCCCCTCTCCCTCCCTCCTTCCTTCTATCTGTTTAGAGACAGGTTCCAGCCTGTTGCCTGTGCCATGTGCAGTGGCAGCATCACAGCTCACTGCAGCCTTCAACTACTGAGCTCACGAGATCTGGTAGCATAAGCCTCCCAAGAACTAGGACTACAGGTGTTTGCCGCCACACCTATTTCTCCTTTTTAAACATTTATAGTGTCCAGCGTCTTCTAAAATGTACAACTGCAAAGTTATACCAGATTTGCCAAAATTATACTAAGATCCAACTTGAACAACTATCTCATGAATTTTGATTCACTTGATTTCTAGGAAAACTGTGCTTTTCTAAAATCCTTTAATCCTAGAGTTCATTATAATCAACTTGTTTATTTCAGAAGATTCATTTAGCTATTCTGTTGTATAATGTTGATCTATAGATATAATATCTTCCACCAGTATTAACGTGGATACTCTGCCAGAAATACCAGCTGTTTTTATTTTTATTTTTTGGCAGTTTTTGGTTGTGGCTGGGTTTGAACAAGCCACCTCCAGCATATGGGGCTGGCCCCCTACTCCTCTGAGCCACAGGCGCCGCCACAGGTATTTTTTTACAAGGATAATTTCCATAAAAACTGTATGTATAAATTACAAAGTATCAAATACTAGATTTCTGATTTCTAGACTTTTAAATATCATTTAAAAAATCAAAACCTGGGCTCGGCGCCTATAGCTCAACCGGCTAAGGCGCCAGCCACGTACAACTAAGGTGGCGGGTTCGAATCCCCAGCCCGGACCCGCCAAACACCAATGACGGCTGCAACCAAAAAATAGCCGGGCG